GAAAGTGGCACAGTTGATTTATCGCCCGGTATACGCCCGGGCAGGGTTGACCGACCCCCGTCTGATTAGTTGAGTTAGATTAAAATAGCAAATGAGTGTCGGATCACATTTATTGAGTCTGCAATCTTGAAATGGACCAAATCAACCTACAGTAGCTATAATAACATTTCCCATATCAGATCAAGTGTTATTCTCTTGAATTGTACTCTAATAGCGCAGCGCAACCGTGACGTCATAAAAACGAAGACAAAGGCGAAATTCGGACAAACAAACTTACAAGTTTACTTTCAGCAGAAAATTTTCACAGCCGATCGCAGTTGATCTTAGTTTACATGGGTTATTATTGTTACTTTAAGTAAAAATAATAAAATCGGTTCGTATAATCCTCGTAGTGGTTAAACAGAATGCAATGTTTGTCCGAATCTTTAAGCTATTTTTAGAATCAGTGCGCTGCGCTATACACTCTTTTGTTATTATTATTATTATTATTGTTATTATTATTATTATTATCATCATCATCATCAGATTATTTATACATTAGAAACCAGAAATTTGACTATTAAAATTTATATTAAATTAGATTTTACCACATATATTGTAAAAGTAATGTAATGTTTGTAATGCGCATGAAAGCATCTCCCAATGGAACATGCGCAATACAAATATAAAATTATTATTGAAAATAATTGAGTTGTATCCATACTGAGCCCAGCACTGTTGTGCTTACCCCTTCCATGAGAACTTAGATACCGGTTTCTTATATAGAGGATATTACATGGGCGCGCGGAGATACGAAATTTATCTTCGAGTGTTGAAAAAAATCTCTCACGAGTGAGCGTAGCGAAAGAGTGAGAGATTTTCAACACGAGAAGATAAAATTCCTATCTCCAAGCGCCCATGTAATATTCTGTTTATTATATAATTATCAATGAAGTATGTTTTGGCTTTTTCAGGCAMTTCTTTCCGTGTATTTTTGAATAGCCATCGCAATGGTGTTATTTTCACACGTGAAAATAACATGTTATTTTCACGTGTGAAGATATCAATTTTTCGAAATAGAGAAAAATAGGTATTTCATAGGTAATTATATAATAAATATATATATTTGTAATGTACAACTACTACAAAAATAAATCATGAATTAAATCAAGGTGGTCACATAGTGACGTGGAATGCCTCTAAGTATCGACCAGTATCGTGTGTCCGAGTCAAGTGTTCATTGAAGAGACATGCGATCGTTTAAAGAAATGTTCAAGTTAGCTATTTAATCAGTGTCAACGTGGTTATATAAGATATATATATAGTTTCGTATCATTCTTCACTGGCTGTTATCATTTAGGTCTTTTTCGAATTCATGAAATACCTCTGAGCCTAAATCAAATTCTCAGCGGGTTGCACCGAGGAGATTGCAGTGAGGCTCAAAAAAGAACGAAAGGGAAAAAAGAAAGACAGACAGAAAGAAACACAGACAGGCATGTACGGACAGACAGACAGACAGACATGTACGGACAGACAGACATGTAGAGACAGACATCAAGACAGACAGATAGACATGTACAGACAGACATGTACAGACAGACAACCATGTACAGACAGACAGAAAGACAGACAGATAGACATGTACAGACAGACATGTACAGACAGACAGACAGAGAGCAAGCACAATATTTATTTAACTTTCAACTCAATCGGATAGTGCTTGGCACTGTGAGCAAAGTCCACCAGACCAGCGTTGAGATCTCAGCAGAACGACAATCGAGATAACAGATTAACTGGACAGGAAGAGAGAGAAAGAAACAAGGAAGGAACTATAAAAGCAATTACTTTAATTTTATAATTACAGCAATTATTAGATGTCATTTTGTTGGCCTGCATGAGCTTGGTAAACCGTACTCCGATAAACGCCTGTCATCCTCTCACAGTGGTGTGATGGTAATATTTTTCTGCTCAAAAATGTCAAAAATCAGAACTTTCGTTTTAACAGTTCTCAAAACACAATAGTGAATTCTAGCCACTCAGAAGAGGTCTGTGAATCGGATACGTAATCGGATATATAATCGTCCTTATTTGCATTCAACTTTAACATGTGTTTTCTCGGTCAATTTTAGTAGAACATGAAAGACATTTGCCTCGGGCTCGTTCGCCCTTGTGATTACAGATCGGCTTCTCATATTGTATGATATATTACATAGAGATGGCCATATTGTGGCTTGTCAAAACTTTTGATTTACGATTTCTACCTACCAATGCGACCAGACATTCCGTGACTAACCTGGAAACTATCTCTAATCTGTTAAAAATAGGGGGTCGTCTTTTATTGATCGCATATGGTTTAAGTGATACTTAATGAACAGACTCTTAAGTAATAGTTAAGAAATGGACAAATTCATCTCGTGGGGAGGAGGGGTAATAGTTAGAAGAGCCTTGATGGCAGCAATCTGATGGGTCAGGAAAATGCAATTCTTGTGTTGCCTGACAAGGGATTTGTTTTTCCCGAAAAAAGAAAACCAACGTCTATTGTTTTTGCCGTGAATTCCCTAGCTCCATAGATGGGTTGAGAACCTGAAAACATTAATCACAGCCCCCATGGTCAGATAATCTGCCAGTCAGACAAGCTTCATGAAAAACAAGTTGATTAGGAAGCAAGAGGTGATTGTACCAGATGACCTGGAAGCGATCGCAATAATGATGACTCAGAAGATTGGTATGTAGTTTTGCCCTACTTATTTTCACGAAGTAGTCAAAAGGGGATAAAATGCTTAGTGAAGGTCAAAGAGCTCCCGTGGGGGAGAGGGTGGTCATGAAGAGAATTCCAGGTTGCCAAATGGGGCAACAAATTCATACTTCTAGGGTAGAGAAGAAGAAGGGGAAGGGACGAGAAAATATCAGCGAAAAGTGCTATTTATCAATAAATTTATAAGAGCCGGTAGATTTAGCGGGAAGAACTAACTACTAATTCAAAGGGGGAAGTAGTAGATTCATTGCCGCGAAGCTGAGGGGTTGAGTAACACATCTAGAAGCAGAGAAGTAGCTAATTTTGGATCAGTCATGAAGGAGGCGCGTTAATCTTCAAGAGGGTGAAAAAAAGTTGTTTTCAAGAGGATTGCCAAGGCGGTGTTTGGGAAAATGGAACAGCGAAAGGTACAGAGGTCAGAAGGTTTGTCGATATGACGTGCATGCCGGTCTAGGCTTGTTTGGGCTATTATTAATCGTTATGCTATCGATTTGGATGCAAGCGATAGTTCCACCATAGCGCACCTCTCTGATATGATATAGGTAGATTATTGTCATTCACGCGCAAAAACTAACTCATGCTAACAAAATTCGCAAGCTATTCACAAAATTGTTTTTCCAACTCGTTAGACAACATCTCTTGTAATACGAAAAATATTTTTCACTTTGATCGAAAAATGGCCAAGAGTCAGTGCCACATTAAAGGTATTTTAATATCAACCTGAATGTAAGGTTGTCATGGCGATAACACGCAGACTAGAGTTATAAAACCAAGATTAGTTAAAAACGGAACATATATATTTAAATTAGGATACTGTCAAAAATCCAAATTTATATGTAGTGCGCATTCTATCTCTTGTGTGCGATGTCTGAAAGCGCATGACCTATAAGCTTTTCTCGTACTCGGTAACAAACAAACCGGAAGTCCCAGATTTTAGGTCGTCAGATATGCGCATGCTCCACTTATTCTGACTTCCGGTATAAATTTAAACAGTTTTTTCTTCAAAAGAAAAACAATCAAGTTTATTTATGTTTATTTATGGGACAGTTTGTCTGTGATTAACATTCTGAAAAAAATAGCAATTTAGCGAGACCCTCATATGTGTGGTAGCCATGTGTGGTAACTGTTGACTGTAAAATCAGCGAATCGAAAACAGATGAATATATAAAAAATTCAACCAATTAAATTAACGGCACGGCAAAGAAGGCTTTGGGTACGAGGATGTTTAAAAGTATAAATAAAATGTGATTTTGTGACAACCTTATCTATGGTTGCACTGGTGGTTCAGTGGTAGAATTCTCGCCTGCCACGCGGGAGGCCCGGGTTCGATTCCCGGCCAGTGCACGAATTTTTTTTCCTTTCTGGTTGTCTTTTTACTGATCTCAATATATAAAATTGGAAACTAAACTCTACATCCTACGGTTTAAAAAAATATGATTTAAAAACTTTAGTTATTATTGATCCATTCATTTTGGTAACCATGGTTACCTTTCGTTGTTTGCTTAGCTTTTCTATCCATCGATTTTCTGCTCGTTTGAATGAATTAATGAACAAGAGAGTAACACACGAAAGTTATAATTTAAAAAAATAACCCAGAAAAAGATAATAGCAAAAAAATAAAATACGAAAGACAAATAATAATAATAAATAACCTTAGTTATATAAAATTTAAATACCTAGAATAATATAACTAATTATGTTCTAATCAAGAGTTCTTTTATGTAAAATATGAATAACATATTATAATAGTAATATTTCTATGCTATATGATACTAAAACTAATATATATTAAAAAATTAAAAGAAGAAAGAAGAAAGAAGAAAGGAAAGAAAAAAAAGGACTTTCCATCAAATGTTAATCATATCAAATCTAATTAGTATTTTTATGAAAAATTAATTGTAATAATTTAATTTCCTATCTTGCAATATGCTACTAAAGATGACTTGGTATATGAGAGGGACTAATATGCCTAAATTTTAAAAAATGATGAAATACCTATAAAATATTAAAAAGATTAACTAGCATACTGAGATGTTTGTCATGCCCTTTTCGTCTTATAAGATTTACATCCGTGCTTCTTACTAATATTTATGAGTTTGCTAACTAAATCATAACAGAATAGAACTAGACACTAGTTTTTGAATCGGCTGACTATATGATTCATTGTTGATTGCCAAAAAGCTTTGCATATCAAATATATCATAACAGGTGGTCTTTCTACCTTATTATAAAATAGAAAGAATGAACATGAAATAAAAAATCGTACCTGTTACGAAAAAGAACAACTTGTTCTTTCTTGCTTCTCTTTGTGTTCTGTAAATCGTCCGACATCATTCGCTTAAAAGATGGTATCTCTAGCTTCTTCTCCAAGGGATAGAGAAGATGGTTACTTTTCCAAAGCTCACGTCATTCAAGACTGAAAAATAGTGAAACGATGGTTTAGTTTCCGAAAAAAAATATTCTGTTGCACAGGAATGAATGGTACAAGTAGACTGACAAAGATAAAACTTCTTCTGTGGACACTGGATGTTTGTCCCTGAGAGATATAAGACTTAATGTTTTCTTATTGCCGATCTTGACCACGTGTCATTCCCTTGAGTATCATTCCTTTGTATAAGGGTTGCGCAAGAGAAGACACAAGAATATATAGATGCAATTTAAACAAAGAATCTTACTCCCAATAGAATAGCACGTCGTCTAAAATGGAAAAAACATAACACCCAAGGTAAAGAGGTTTGTTGGTTAGGGATTGCCACTCAAATAAGGCTGATTCAGGAAGCTGCTATATGTACATTTTTGGACCCAACACTGTTCTGTTAATGAAAAAAGGAATAATTACAGCAACGACCAATAAAATAATACTCAATGGAATGACACGTGGTTTGAAATAGGAAAACATTACACCCAAGCTAAAACAGATCTGTTGGTATAGGGATTGCCGTGAGATGTAAATTTTTGGTCTCCACGGTTCTGTTAATGAAGAAAGGAGAAGTCACAGCAACGAGCACTGAAATAATACTGAAGGGAATGACACGTGGTCTGAAATAGGTACACGTTCGAGTTGAGATGGTCTGTTCATGTGTATATATTTCTGTATGTGCAACCCCTTTCAGCTGCGTCTTGTCGTACTTTCATCTCTACAGGATTAGCAAGAGTAGAAGGGCAAAGGTGAGGCATGCAATGCAGTCAATGGAAATTAAAAATGCCTTTTTTAGAATGTACTGAATTTATAATTTATAATTTTGAAGAATTTCTTTAAATTGAGAGGGAATAAAATTGAAAATAGTCGAGAAAAAAAATTGTCGTAGTTTCATCTCTACAGGATTATCAAGTGTACAAGGCATGCAATACAATGCAGTCAATAGGAATTGAAAAACATACTAGAATGTATAGTACCACACTTATAATTTCTAGCTTTGAAGAATTTCTGTGATTGGGAAGGAATAAAATATAGCCAATTGAAATTAATGAAAAACAGAGATACCAAAGCATGCTTGGAAATTACAAAGAGTTCAGTGGGAAAGTAAAATTTTGCTGTAAATGATATATTTATATATTGTTGTCTATTTTGCTATGTTTTATTGTTGCTAAAATACTTGATGATAAATAAAGAATGAAACAGATTCTTTGTTTTAACAGTTGTTAAAATTAATATTTTTGAATTTTTTGAGAAAGAGTGTCGATTTGAAGAAAAAAGAACTTGCACTGGCCGGGAATCGAACCCGGGCCTCCCGCGTGGCAGGCGAGAATTCTACCACTGAACCACCAGTGCAACTGATGAATTTTATCGTAATAAATTAAAGGCAAATTCCTGACTTATTCCCCTCAAATTGTCTTCAAATGTTCAGGATATGACTTGCGCACTCGAAATATGGATTGCGCACTACAAACAAAGCCGATAAAGTTGTTTCAGTTCCAAAAAGTAGAGTTTAACTACGACGCCAACTAATCAAAAAAATCGTTCTTCGTCAACCATTGCATATGGCGCTCCTGTTTTTCAAAACACGACTAAATGATTGGGTAAATACTTATGAACCCTTTTAACGATATATACTATATATTTTTTAAATAAACGCTGAAAATTGATATTTTTTTTGTCAGCGGAAGTTTCCCCCAAAGAACTTCAACGATTTTCCCACCGCGTTTTAGCCCAACATAGGCTACCCACGCGGGTCTAAAACAAAAATCAGTTCTATCAGATTTGATGAATAATGAGAGTTAATTGTCCAAAGCTCTCTTTGTTTTAGTATGATAAATTATTGAGATTGTTTTTTTGAGCAATTGTTGGAAATATGTCATAACTTAACAGCTTTACCAAAGGTAGTCCAAACTTCAAGTCTGCATTTGTTAATCCATGGTTTATCATAAAGATTTGAAATAAATATTCGTGACAATTCTACCTCCACCGACCATATAGGTCATCATTGTCACGTGATTTCTTCAGCAAAGATACAAGGCACTAAATGAAAAGACCACGTGATCTGTGTATACTAGAAACTCAATTACAAACGATCACCATTTACCAATTCAAACTACGGTTTCTAACGACTACGTGTTGATAATGAAAGGATTAAGAATCTTGTTCGCCACTTAATAAAGAATATAAACAAATAAACAAATACCTATCGATACGTCATTGTGAGCGGACACTGGTAAGCCTGCCTAACAAGATGTCAAATCATTGGATTACTTTTACATTAATATAAGCGCGCCCTGTCAATATAATAATTTCTAGACAATTTATCTTCAACACTGTTTGTTCATATCAGAAGGAAACAGAGAAGTACCAAGGGTCGATGGATCAAGGGGATTCAACGAACTTAGCTTTTCTAGGGGTTAAAAGTTGAATGGAATTTCTTTTGTTATGTTCGACTTTGATTAATGATTTGTCTGTGGTTAGTTAAGAAGTGATTAACCCTAAGGGGGGACGGGACGGGGCAGTAGAGATAATTTCCAGATGTTGAAAAGCTAATAATGTTACTTTTTAATGAGAACAAACAATTCATATTTTTCCTTATTTTCTTTATGAAAAAAAAAAAAAAAAAAAAAAAGATAAGTGTCTCTAGCTTTCGATAAAAGTTGAAAATTCTGCAGAAATTCTGCGGATAATTTATGAACACAAAAAGTTCGAACATTTAAGCGCACGCGAAAAGTGACATATCCAAGTGAAAAACCTATCGATTCGAGAAAGTGCATTTTCATTGTAAAGTTGATATGATATAAATTAGTACGTTTGATAACATCGTTAAAAAAAGCGTACAGTGCAAAAAAATTTATTCATTTTATCGACTATCTTGTCTGTAGAGCTCGACGAAAATTCAAACCCGACTCAAACACTGTAAGTTAATGACCAAAAATTCAAGCTAAAGGGTAAACTATGTAATTGAAATGTCCCTAGCTTACTAGTAGTAATTGATAATTGATGACTACCAAACCCTTCTGAAACAGGGGGGTGAGAACACCGATCCTACTTAAGAGCGGAGTAAGATTTCTTGAGTACTTTTGTGTTTTCAGCTTGTTGCAATGACATTTTCTTCTCAAAAATTAGTGCCAAATTTTTCTCCTTAAAATTTTGGTGTTGGACTATTTTTTTTTTTTTTTTTTTTTTATCAGATGAATTTAAAAAATAATTAATAAGTGTACTCTCTTACAGCAGAGTTTCTTAACATTTAGTTGCTATTAACAAAGAAGTTCTCCTTCTCTCCACCCGCGGAATTCATCTTTGACCTAACAACTTGACAGTATGATTAATGATGATTTATGACCGCTACACTCCCTTGGACAAGTTCGTCTCACTTACAAGTCTCCATGAGGAATCGACGCTTTTCCGGTCCTAATTGTTGAGATCCTTGCTCCATCTTCAACACAAATTCCCTTCAAGTTCTACCTGAGAAAAACAAATCACTTCAGCGTTTTTAAGATGTGGTTGCTTCTGGTAGTAATGATCACCTATTTTGGTAGTTCAAAGTCCGGTAAGTGTACAAATCTACGTTCTTTCGGTAGCGATGTCACAAACTATTTACTCTTTAATATATAATGGCTGATCTTTTGATAAACGAATCAATATTTCCAAAATATGAGCATTACTAGGATTAGCAAGTCTGTAAAATTGGGGAAAAGACTCTAAAAGCAAATGATATGGCGACGATTTGTTTACCAAAAGATCACAATGGTCTTATTTTACAGAAACATTAGGGTGACAATGTAGGTCGTTGAACCCGTATTGGTCAACTTTCTACCTTAAATTTCACAGAGCGTAAACTTCGTTGTAATGTCATATCATTAGAATTGATTCTTTAAACCTTTTAGAAGTTATCAAACTTAGCTTTAAGGTCTAAAAATCACTCTAAAATGCTGTTTTAAGAGTTAAAATGTGGTAGAGAATGGTAGGCTCGGTATTAGGGAATCGAACCTTATCATGAGTCCCAAAACAAAACAGTTTCGTGAAAAATGACTTAGAAAAAAACAACTAATAATCACCAGAGCTCAAGTCTAATGATCATTAATTTATTTTACGGTATTCATTTTAAGCAAGGAGTTATCCTTAGCTTGGAATTAGGTTATCAAGTTTAGTTATTTGTCGAACGTGAAGCTAAGAATTCATGGCAGTGTCCTGAAGGTACCATCTCATCGATCAAAGTCAAAAAACAACCATGCGCTTCTGCCGCCTTTGAATAACGCATTCAAACAAGATTAACCCACCCCAAAGAGCTGAAGACGTTAAGCACGTTCCCTAAAATATCCTACGAGGGGAAACTTCTAAAACGCTGCACTACACACATATTGGAAAATGGTACAGTTTAGCTGTACACTGTACTAATAGTGGCTTGACTATGGTCGTGTGAATTCTGTTTTGTACGAAATGTTTAGCTCTAAAAATGGTTGGTATCCCGCTGTTTTTAATCCACTAATTCACTTAATCATCTTTAAACAAAATTATACCCTAACAGCGTGTTCAGCTCTGCAAGTTTTTTTTTTCCATCTACGAGTATTTTTTCCCCAGGCATTGAGAGATGTAGATTTAAGGCAAGATAGTTGATTGGACGTTCAAATCTATAATCTCTAACTTTAGGTAAACCTGACGATAGAAGATTATAAAAAACAGCATTAAGAAACCATTATATACCAGGTTTTGTATATAAAAATGTAGACAATATAGTAAAAACTAAGAAATGCTAAACAAGAAGAGAGTTGAGATTAATAAAGAATCGGTAAGCGAGTTGTTCTGGTTAGGGCGTTCATTGCCATAACTAAAAATTAATTGTGGCAAGCCACCAAAAAGAAAAAAAAAACACAAGTTTTCACGTACATAATTTTCTTTGAATGTTAGTCTCAAAATCTCCCACGGTATATCAAACTATTGCTATTGCGTATTTGAAGCTATTTCTTGTCTTTTTATCTATATGTTTTTGCTACCATAATCGGGGTACTTGAAGACTGGGTGCACTATACTAAAGTGCACTTCTATCAGTTTTCTCTGGCCGGGTTGTGTGTGTGCAAATCAATTTTGCAAACTTAGAATCATTTGTATACAAATTGTACTTATTGAATGTAAAGGTTTGATTGTTTTAGTTGGTCTTCATAGCTTTTTCTTAGCTATACTATACCACCAGTCAATGCTATTCTCATGGCGAAATCACAGCTCTAGAATTTAAGTTTACTGCATTCAACAGTTATGAACTTGTATTGTTTTAGACTAGCTACTTTTATGCTTGAACTTTTTTTTGACTGTAAGTTTGTTGTTTCATATTTCATTGTTTTACCTCAATGATTGGTACAATAACTAGAATACTGAATTGCTTGGTTAGTGAGACTAGTGAAGCCAGACTGAATCACCGGCATTATTGCAGTGACTCCCCAATGGCTTCTCATATAGTAGTTCAATGTATGGTACAGTGAGTCTTATCAGTGTGACTAGTAGTTCAAAACAACATGAAACCTCTTTTTTCCTTTGTTTTTCTTTATAGTTTCTTGTAGGACTCTCAATAAATGACTTCTTTTAACTTTATACCGTAGACTACCATCTCACATCATTATTGGCCCACAGTGTGTTTGTTCATATTAGTTCAAGAAAGGTTATATATGTAGTTTGCATCAGTGCATGTGAATCAGTGTAGTTGAACAAGAAACGTGTTTGTTCTTCATCAGGTTTAACTCTAGTATATATAGGTTAGACTACCATTTCACATCATTATTGACTCACAACGTCTGTTCATATTGTAGTTCACTTGAAGAAAGGTGATATATTGGATATATAGTCTGCATCAGTGCATGTGTCAGTGTAGTTAAAAATGAAACGTTTGTTTGTTCTTTATCAGGTTTAACTAGTATAGCATTGCTAGGTTAGACTACCATCTCACATCATTATTGACTGACTTACATCCATGTCTGTTCGATTAATTCAAGTTATTTTGCATGGTATATACAACTTCATCAGTGCAATTATAGTTCAATTCAACATAAAACGTCTGCTTGTTCTTTATAGTTTAATCTTGTTGTACTTTCAATAAATGGCTACTTTTAACTAGCATAAAATTGCTTGGTTAGACTAGATATCACCTCAATAAAATGTGTCTCTTCAAATTAGTTGAAAGGATAACTTGAGTGGCATATGTAGCCTGCATGATACAGGTAGCAAAGTAGGTCAACATGAAACGTCCATGCACGTGTCTCGGTCGTAACATGGAAAGACTACACTTTATACACTGCCTTTCATGTGCAAAGACTGCCTAAGAGTTTGCGGCACGTAGTCGTCTTTCTCTATATAAAGCTCTCGTTCTCTCTACTCAATGGTAAAATCTATAAAGCAGACCATTGCATTGTACTTAAAGTCAACACAAGCCACTTAGGCTTTGCCTGCCAATACCGACTGCTACTTTCTGTTCAGTGATGCCTTGCTTTTTCTTAGTACTTCTAGCCCTTTCATTCATTGTTTTCCAAAGTTCCTCCTTATTGCATATCATAAACTATGAAGATTATGACTTATGCTGGCTATTCAGAGTGATACACTGGCTTGAAGATCGACCATCCTCAACATGATAGTTTTTCAGCGATACATGTTGGATTCTCAATCGCAGCTTTGCCCTTTTTTCTCTGCTCTCCGCAGGGTAAAATTTGCCAAACAATGAAGATAATATGCCGAATGGCTCATCAATTGCTTCTGTGATATGAAAGCTATAATTCAATATTCATAAGTCGTGCTTTTTTGTCATTTGTTTTCAGTTCTTGATGAGCTTCTTGCAATGTGAAACTCTTTCATGCGGACTGAGGCAAACGAAACTCAGTTGAGCCACAATTTTTAACTCGAGTAGTTTTGTCAACATAAAACCATATAACAGGCTATGAGTCCCTTATTCTTCTTTGTTTCCCGCCACTGCTTGTTATTGCTCTTTTCTTTCATGTAGTATAGTTTCAAACCTAAGGGGTTGCTGTTGAGTAAGGAAAGGGCATAAAATGCAGTCTTTCATACTCAAAGATCTTCGATGGAAATCGTCTTCGTTTCTAACATCTATTCATTCATTTGTGGCCAGTTTATTTGCTCCAGTTGCTTACAGTTTCAATGCCACACTATTTCACTTGAATGTGATTGATAGTGGTTTCGATGAGTTGTTGATATAGAACTAAAGTTCATCGAAATAGTAGATATACAACTCGCTGCTTCGTGTATCTTGCCTTGCCTTCTTCGGCAGCTTTCTTGTTGTTGTGTTCACTCTCATCGTTTATTTTCCTCTTATTTCTTTCATTTTTACCTTGTTCCTCGCTGGTTACAACCAAGAAATCCCATTTATCAACTTCTTTTATCCATGCAAAGCTCTCTTCTTCAGTGAAATACGCTGTATTGTTCAATATCAGTTTTTAGCTTTCTTGTTAATGATGCTTCGAGCTGACCTTGAATGTCCACACAAAATCAAAGGCTTGTTTTGTTTGTCTGCACAGTCCAGTCAGGAGTATATATTGCACCAGAGCAGCATATACATATATACATCAAATACATAATAACTGTAGCTGGAAGTGCTTTTGTAGTTTTGCAAGCAGCTTATTAACACGAGATTAGTGGTCTAGTTAGTGCGAGTTAGGTAACACCCTGTGATGAAACAGACACCAAACCCACTGGCATGTGATATGTGATATGAGAGGCCAGACCATTTAAAGAACCCTACCCTATTGTTCATTTGAGGTATGGCATGGAGGAACAATAGTTTGAATGTTAGCAAGAATGCGAGTAAAAAAGATATAAAAACTCTCCATCTGTGACAAGAAGTGACTTTTCCGAGCGGAATCAAGGAGCCAAAAAGATGAATAAGATAAACAAGAGTGTAGATGATTGAGTATTTGGGGAAATGAAAAAAGTGGAAGGAAATATTTCAGTAAAGCTAAAACATGCCCAGACAGAGCGAAGAATTGAACAATAATCAAAGAAACCAATAGTTTTGTCAAACACAAAATGGGTTCTTGACAACTGCAAATCCAAAAGCTTAGAACGGGAACGTTCATCCCGTTCCAAGTCTGTAATATTTTCCAGGCTTCAGCAGTATCAAGGCCGTATTCGCTTACTTATTCTCTACAAATTTAAATGATTTACATAAGGTCCTTTTCACCAAGGAATAATATAGCTTCACCTTTAAAATCTAATTTCTTTCCATTTTTTTAGGTTTTCGCTATTGAGTCCATAGGAAATTAAAACACTGACATTTTAGTTTAAAATGTCCCTTTTCTCGAATTTTTAAAAATGTTCAAAACCGACCAAATAAATAAATGAGAAGTAAAGGAAGACAAGACCTATCAACTGGGTTTGTCTTGAATAAGAAAAGAAGTCTTTAAGATGATCATTACTTTTGATTCCCTTTTTTATTTCTATTATGCACAAATATACATCCAATTGCTTCCCATTTCAGTCGTGAACTTAGTCAGTCCTTAGTCAATCCTTATGTTGTATACAGAGAATCAATTTTCCTATTATTTATTCGTTTACTGTGATTGTCTTAACAATGTACAAAGTACATTCATAAAGAAATATAAGTGTTCTAGATTACATTTCTAAAGAGAGAGTGGTTTTCCTATTTCATTTACTGATTGTCTTAAAAATGTACAAAGTACAGAAATATATAAAAACATGTTTTTGAACATTTTGATAAATAATCTAAAATGTTTTTGGAGTTAAGGATGGAGGAGGACTAACAAGCTATCAAGTCTCAGGTTCCTGAACGGTGCACGGCACTTGAGAGTTGTTATTCTAATGTGTTGTAATTGGTTTTAAGTATGTACAAACACTGACACTATCGCTTGCAGTAGTCTATCACACCATAAACCAATAGTACCAAGCTTCAAAATTTACCGAGAAAACTCCATATTTTTGCCCATGTCGTCGAAAAAAAGGTCTTAGATGTACAAGGACAGAACACCTCGCAACCTGGTTTCATAGATCAAAGATACATTTTTTCCTGAATTTAATCAAAAAAATTTGAGCTCAAACGTGTCAAAAACGAGAAAAATGATGTGCAAACTACCGGCCACCGGACAGAAGTGAATAATATCTACGATATCAAGTTAATACGCGGTGAAAGGCGTGAAAGAGTCGATAAGTCTCTGGGGTGAAGCACCTGTCAAAAGGGGATTGCCGAAAGATTAATGACTTCCCTTGGAAAACCAATCTCTAGTCTCCTCTTGGCTATCCACGATCGGCAACCCTTGAAAATAGCCTTACATGAAACATACCTACGAAGCTGTCAAAAAATTAAGATTAATGATTTGGAATAATGACTTTGACAATGCAATTCGTAGTACCCATTCCAGTCTCGGACAAGATTAAATATCTTGGATTAAGAGTCATATTGCGAGAGGCATTCTTTCGTGAGGTTCGGACTTCTTGATAAGGAAATGCCTCGTTTTTTTAAACGTCTAAAATAGTTCCTCTTCAAAAACATTTAAGGCAGATTTTCCTGGACAACCATTAACCGAAAGTTTAGAATCTAAAAGTCGAGGAAAAAAGTTTTTTTGGGACATATTTAAGGCGAAGTATTGTGCTGCACCGACAATACAATGACAAGTACGAAACGCTGGATTCTACCTGTCGCATGGTTGTTTTCCATGGCGAGTTTTGGAACATGTTTTTCAGGTATGTTGTCGTAAATAAAGACTAGGAAGAATTTTCTTTAAGTTCTGGGTTAGTGATGCGGCGTAATAAAATAATTGCAATAACGGACACAGCCGAGGAGGAGTTCTTTTATCATCATTGTCGTGACTTAATGTACACTGAAGTCTTTCCGATGGGTTGAACTAAATAGGTTCAAACACCTCGGTCAATTGGCCAATTGACGGTTTCTCTCTCCAAGAAAGAGTGTTGGACAGTTTGGAAGACATAAAATGGATTCTCTTCTTTGAATTCACGTTTAATTAATCGAAAAAATGTAAGTCTTGACCAAAGGCAAGAAAGGAGAAGGACTTGTTCGTTTTTTTTGTCCGACGGTATACTTGGGTGTCGAGAACTCTAAGATGAAACGTTCGGGTTTACAAACACTGACTTCGGTCAACTGATTATTGCAATTTCATGCTCAGTTGTTCTTTAAAGAAAAACAAAGAAATACTAGGGGAAAAAAACTTAGTTCTTTTCAAAGTTTTTTGAATCAACATAAAATTGTGAAACATTGCAGTGAGCAAGTCATGAAACATGGCTACTTTTCAATAAAATATAGACACTTGCATTTATATCATTATCACCTATTCACTTTGTTTGATAATTTTCAATCTCTAAAACTAAAATTACTCGCTTTACTTACTTTTTCAATGCAAAATTTTTAAAAACAGATGGCCATTTTTATTGTTTCTTCATCGATTGAACAAATCTTCCTCACAGAAGATGCCTACCTATTTTATCGCAGCAATTAAGAAATGAAAGCTAAACTGTTTCCTCAACTGATCTTTACATAAATTTCTTGAGTATTCCTTGTACTTTTGATAAGTTTCATGTGTTGGCTTTCATTATATTTAGTTGTCGAATGTCTTCAGAAAACGTACCACTAATCCTTGGTTAAGTCGCTGTCTCCGAGAGAGGTTGTGGTTTAACAAACAAAACCCATAGGCAGTCTTTATAGGGATTTTGAATCAATAAACGGCATCCTTCTTATTTGGTAACCACATCAGTCTTTCTTAGCCTTAGATATTACTCAGTTCATGTATTGTAGTCGAAGTTATTTAACAAAAACATTTGTACCGTTTGGTAGAGCTTCTTAGGAAACTCCAGTACATCGTTTCTAAAAACTTTCTCAGAGGTATATTTCTCTCGATGCTGAAGTTATTATTTTGACACTGACAACAGCCCCAAACTAAAACAAATTAAGCTGGAACAGTGACTTCTTGCTCCAAAAAGTTCCAAATAAACCAGAAACATCTTTTAGCCCTTCTAGCGGGCCTTGATCAAAAGTTCCTCACACGATAAGCAAATTCAAATACACATATCTTCTGAAACTTTGACATTTTGGAAAAAAAAGAATATAGAAATTGTCACCAATGAAATGTTTCTTTCGAAACGTTTGTTGATTCTAAGCTATGAAGTGGATTAAATAAATAAGGAACACTTCAGATACAGAATACTATTATAGTTTTCCAGTTTTACTGAAAATGCTCTTCTTGATGTGGTAGAGCCAATGTCTTCAACAATAAAGTATGTGAGAAGTAGCTTCGTTCGACTAAGTTCAATTGCGTTTTTCTGCATGAGCCTAAAACATTTTCAATTACAATTGCGCTTTCAATCTTATAACAGTGGAATATGGTGTCTTTCCTTTCAGTACTTTAACTGCTTCAATATTGAAAAAGAATAAAAATAAATGAGTTGATAATATTTGTGTTAGTTTTCCTTTTGCTGTCACAAAGATATCTTCCATCGCCATTTTTGCTTTTCCCCGATGAAGTCATCTGCAACATTCCGGTCGAATGTTCGAAGGCACCAACCAAATCAAGCTTCTATTTGATTTAAACTAGTCAATAAGCAGTTTTAAAACTACAAGATTTCTAGGCTTACTAGGAATACGGTCCTATCATATAGAAAGCCCTACCTGATGTTGCCTCATGCAGAGCGGTTGACATAGTAATTTTTCATGTTCGTGACTCACTACGAATTCTTCTCAGAGGTGTTCAGACCTTAGGAAACAACGCCTAACCCGAATGGCATTGATCAAAAAGGAATGCTCTATTTGTTTGAGGAAGAACAAAAAGATTTAAGATTTTAGACGCAGGCTATGTGGATTGACTTACTTTTCCTTTTAACTAAAATATGAAGTATTTCAGTGAAGAAAGGTTTTGCACCGTAATCAGACTGACTATCTCTAACTATAGCGACTGAAAACGTCTTATCAAAACTGAGATATATCCATGGTTGTCTGTAAGTAGAAATTTCTGTATCTAAGTCACATTTGAAGAAATCGTCGGGAATTATTAAAGGGAGATTGAAAGGCTACTAACTTGATCTAGTTTATGTGAATAAAGCAAACATTTCATATTTCTTACTAACGAACTCTCTTGAGTAAAGCAGTCATTTATGAGCCCAAGTTTTGTCTGATTTGAATGTAAACAACAAACCAAGGGCTGTTTCTCTCTGACGAACTCAATTCAGACATAGTATTTATGTAGTGTTTACAATCAGTCATAGAATTTTAGATTTTTAGCCATCGTTATTTCACATTATTTTATTTTATTTCTTATTAAGAGAGAATTCTTTTCGTATTCAAGCGGTGAGCGCCAAAAACTATTTTCTTGAAGAAAGGCTGTTGTACAAGGCTAAAATCTTGTTATTCAGAAAGTTGAACTTGTTTGGAAGTGGAGATGATCGATGAAAGTGGAATCAAAGTGTTAACCCAAAACAAAAATTTGAATCGAAAATGAGGTTTAGGCCTTCATTTGCTTAATTCCCATACATTTTCTATAAAAAAGTTTGACAAAGCTACATTCTAACACAAATGCAACAAAAAATCTTTGTACGATGAAAATACCGCTTCAAACAAGCATTTTATCATAGTACATAAGTTTCTAACTGTTAAAAAAGGTTTTGAGTGTTAACCCAAAACTAAAATTGGGATCAAAACTCATTGCTCGTTTTTGAAAAAAATTTCCTCTTAATATTTATCAGTTTCTGAACAGTTCTTTTTAGGGAAGTATATGCATTTGAATACGTTAGATAGATAGGTTATTATAAGTATTCGCAGGTTTTCCAGAAAAATAAAATGCGAGTAGAAACCAAAACACTGAGACGTGCTTGAGTTTTTCAGTGATTTAGGGTTTTTAGCGATTTCTTTAGTGGCAGTTAAAGGAATAATTTTATTTTTCAAACAGATTGCACATCACCACTCGGCATGACATCACGCGCCATCAAGGATCACCAAATAACAGCTTCATCAACGTTCTCTGACTTTACCAAGCCTCAAGAAGGAAGACTACGAAACCAAAGGTAAGAATAAACCACTAACATACTGAATGAAGGAACCCTTAACTGTCATATCAAGCAACTAGAGCCACAGTGCAAGGACTGCTAAGAAGTGATACCAAACTAAGGCTATGGCACAACTCTGATAGACTACTACGATTGTAGCGTCTTTGCTTGACAACAATCATGTTTGGTTTAACCTATAAAGTCAATTATAAATACAGATAAAAATCACAAATCTGCAGTAAGGAGAATCAATTGTGTATGAAAAATATAGAGATAATTTGATAGAATTTGAAAAAGAAGTGCTTGTTTTTTGGGGTAAATAAGAATGGCCGGCACACCTTTTAATGTGTCATTTAGGGATACAAGTCTTATCGAACAATTTTTAAAGGAACTAGCAAAGACTCGGACAATTTTATGAAGCCTGGAGCCTGGGAAGATTTAAAAATCGGACTTTTTCATTAAGAAAAACGAACTAGTATCAGCGAACTATTATCAAGATGTTTGATAGAGATGGTCGGCAACGAATCGCTTCAAATTGCAAGGGAAAAATAGCGTCAGTTTAATCATTTGCTGATGATCTTCACTTCATATTTCTCGGCAAGCTTTATTCCTCCAGATTTGAACTAGTTTGATAGCAACCAGTTTGATAGGTAAAGTTTTGTCAAGAAAACACTTTACATATTAATATAGCTTTTTGAGCGTTGTCGGAAAAAGTCATTATACTTAAGGGAATGACATGGGTTGTAGGTTTTGAAACGGGAAACATTAAAAACAGGTATATTAGGAGCAAAGCTTCACAAATGGAACAATTTGAATCTTAAGAAATAGAGTCAGTTTATAAAGTAGAAAGGTTGCTTATTTGGTAATAACTGAAAACCCTGGCCATTCCTTGATATTCTATGATTTTCACTATAAACCATTATTCGTGACTTTCAAATAATTACATATAAATTGATTATGAAGACCGCAATGCTTTCGTGACTGAATATCTTCATACGACCATTAATAACAGATTTGAACCAGGAAGTCATCAAGCATCCGAGGTTTCTACCCAAGATTGCGGAGACAAATTGCTTAGTCATATTTCCTATTGTGGTATCCGTTTTCCAGGAAGAAACTCACACGACAAGAATGAACGAGTCAATTGCAACTGACATCTCATACCTTCTCGTGTGTGTGATTTTTATACTTGATCAATATAAATACCACTAGATCAGATGTGATTCGTTACACCTGTGTAACGTCCATATAAATTCATTTGATTCAATTTCCAGACTCGGCATCACGTGAGTAAAGTTTGTTAGGTCTCTCCCTTGATTCGAGGGTTTTTTTCCGGTTTTCCTCCCTCCTCAGTCAAAAACACGCTAAAATTCCAATTCGATCAGTGAGTTAGCCATGCCCTTATTTTGATCAGCCGCTAGGTTGTTTGCTGGGCATCGATAAAATTTGAAGTCTATCGGTTAAATGATTTGGAAGAAAGGTCATTAGCGTTTCTTATCCTTCGCGAAAGCGTTCTTTCTGGTTTCTTGTTATTTCCCATAAAATAATGCCTTCATGACGAGGCCAAGTAATTACAAGTTTCAGTATCTCTCATCTTTTTAAAATCAATATTGATTGGTTCTTTGCTTCAGAATTCCTGGACAGTTTAGTACGTTCGCTGGTTGGTGCGCCGACGACAACGATGCCTCCCCATATCTACAGATTGACTTTCAACAAGAGACAGTGGTGCGCGAACTGGCAACGCAAGGCCTTGAAGAGCCATCAGGCAACTGGGTCACAGAGTACGCCTTGAACTACAGCTGCGATGGAGCGACCTGGACGGCGTATAAAGATGAAGGGGATGATAAACAAAAGGTAGCATTAAAACGTGTATTTGTGAGTCCTTCTTTTGAAATTCTGCGGGAACCCCTCGACGTAGATAACAGTAAGAGAGCGCGCTGATATAAGTGGCCATCGCCTTTAAATGTATTGGTTTTGGCTACCTGGAATTATATATATTGATATGCTGCACGTTGTGATTGCGACTTTCCGTGACAGATAGCAAAGTTCTTAGCCAGTACCTATACTCCTAAGTTGATATTTCCTAAGCACGTGTGTAATTTATGGATCCTTTAAACTGTGAATGCCTTGTAGTTTCTTTTCACCATCATGGCTGCCATGTCCGCGCCTCATGTCCCTTGGGGATGGTTGTAGATCATCAATAGTGAGAGAAACACACAGCGGTAGCCGGCTTACAGTCTCGAGGCCCTGGAAGAAAATCTCCTTTATTAACTTGCCTTGCTCCAGCTTTCCTGCAAGACTAAGTGTCCTACTCTATACTCTGAAATGACAGTGTCTCAGGCGGAACAATTCAGTTAATTCTAGAGTCAATTCCTTTCCTTGTTCTTCAAGGTTTTCAAGGCCAACACTGATGATTCTACAATAGTTAAAGTTCATTTGAAGCTACCAGTCATTGCTAGAATGATTCGCTTCCGGCCGCTGAAGAAGAGAAACCACGGAATGGCTTGCATGAGGGTAGAAATGTATGGCTGCAAGTCTAATCCAGGTATAGTATAATAACTGTCTGTGTTGAAAATTATTACACTTGCTTATGAGGGTGTATGGGTGTCATCACGTGGTATCAACGAGAGCACATGATTGGCTTTAAGGAGTGTATTGTTGTCATCACGTGGTATCAACGAGCACATGATTGGCTTTAAGGGGGGTGTATGGGTGTCATCACGTGGTATCAACGAGCGCACACGATTGGCTTTAAGGGGGTGTATGGGTGTCATATTCTATATTAGCAGACTGTAAAAGGTTAGGGCGAGGTTAAGGCTCCTAAAGGAAGTGAAAGTACGCTGTTGTTTGCAAGAAACGGGTTTAGAAAATTGTGCCTTTTCGCTCAGTTTAGTTCTTCCTCTGTATAAACTTGTCTCAAAAAAAAAAAAAACGTTCCTAGCCGCATCTCTTCAATACAGAAAGAAAGAATTAAATAGATAAGAATGAAGTCTATGACCACTTTTATGCAACACACAATGAAAAATATTTGTGAACATTGTTTTCAGATAAACAGTTCAGTGACTGTAGCGTCGCAGTGGGAGTAGAGAATGGTCAGATAGCGAACGCGCAGATGACGTCCTCTTCACATTCACAAAGCCACTTTCCCTACTACGGACGTCTGAATAATAAAAACAAAGTCGTCGATGGTAACGTTAGCTGGGGCGCGTGGTGTACGAACGAAGTGCGAAACAAACAGTATTTACAGGTAGGATGAGTTATTTCGTTTCCATGACAACCAGTTTGAAATGTAACCAGGCCTTTGAAATGCTAAGAGTAACACTATTGGTTAATCCCCTGTATCCTGACAAGACTATCCCCTAACAAACTCTACTCACATGTTTATGATGCCAAGTCCAAAATTCGAACTCGACACATTTGATGCCCAAGACGATCAATTAACAATGAATAACCAATCACATCGCAGCAACTATGAGGTTTTTCCATTGTCGCTATTCACGTCATGTCAAAGGAGTAGTCCATGTCCCATAGCTATGCGTATGTTTTTTGCAGGTGGACCTTGGTAATACTCGCTCTATATCAGGTGTGGCAATACAGGGATACGCCAAAGGTGGATGGGTCACCAAGTTTATGCTTCAATACAGCTTAAACTTGAAAGAATGGAATTTATACAAAGACTTCAACTCGAGCAAAAATATGGTAAGCTTGATCATATGAACTTACTTAGTTTTCTGAACAAGAAAAGAATGGGCCTAGAATGGTGGAGCGCAGTCTCTAAGTTATCTACTCTTTCAAGGCTAAAGAGGGAAGAATGGGTCTAGAATAAGCTGTAGTTCCATAGCTGGCCTTTTTTGGAAAGAAGATGAAACAGCTTTTAAAATACAAATAATTAGATCGAATCCAAATAGATATCGTTTCTCTTGGTGACATTGATAGAGCAAAGCGCTAGATGCGACTCACTTCAGTGTGAAATCACTGAATTATTATTACTGGGATTCATTCATCGGATAAAAGTCTTTGAATCTCATTATATGCTCCAAATGTTGGTCAAACACTGACCACCATGTGTTGTCAACCAGAAAGAATTCTATTGCTGGGTTTCAATCAGCTGATAAAAGTCTTTACATCTCATTATCTGCTCCAAATGGTGGTCAAACACTAACCACCATGTGCTGTCAGCCAGAAAGAATTCTACCGAAAACTCGCGATTCAGCTGATGAAATTCCGCACGAGACAGGATATCAGATAATAATGAACGGGATGTTGTATTTTTTCCAAGGTATTTGATGGCAGTTGGGACGCCGAGACGATCATTAAACATGATCTTAATGTCAACGTTCAAACCCGTTATGTTAGGTTTATTCCTACAGCCTGGAAAACCTCTGGTAATATCTGCATGAGGGTTGAGGTCTATCAGTGTATTTATTATAAAGGTGAGTGGGTTAATTCTCTACTTTCATATCCCCATAATGCAATGCGTCTTTTGGGGGTAACTAATCAAAAAACTGTCCCAAATTGAAAGGTTTCTTAATTGAATTTATGCTATACCTGCTGTTATCCGTACAATACTGATAATCAGTTTATTCCAAGTTATTTTTGCGTGTAAAGATCATCAAGAGTTTTGGTCTTACAGAAAGTGCATTGACTTACGAAAAAATGTTTAAAATTTACCTTAAACGTCTTCAAGCTTCTATCTTTTTCTGTTTTTTTTTTTTTTACTTCTTCATTTTATCTTTGGATACCAAACAAGGTATTGTCAACATTGTCTGATCAGCCTTCAGAAAAATAAGTGGGTTTTTACCCTCAAAATATTATGGGGATGTGAAAGTAGAGAATAGCAGTATTTGATTACTAACTTTGCATGATTTTGCACCATTATTCTATAATCATGATCATTATCTTTCTATATTTGAGTCACGTTTTGATCGAAAGTGTATGTTCAACAGGTTGCCCTAGGCTCCCTACGACAATACAACCAACAGGAACAATAACAAGCTCGCTAAGCAACACGGGAATTTCACCAACAGGGGAGCCAACCCTTCAATCAACTCAAGATAAGAACAACAACGTACGGAACAGCAATTCACTGGGCTCAATCATCCAAGTGGAATTCCTAGCTTTCTGTTTTTGCTTTTTATGTTGTTATTTTATACGTTGATGTAGGATAGCATTTGTAAATTTATCACATCTTCGACTATATTTATTAAGAGTTAATTATCAATACCGCATTAAGCTTCCAGAAAATAAGGCTTTTTACGATGGAAAACTTGACAAACACGTTTTGACTTTCTGTTTGTCACGTGATATTTCGCAAAGAACGATGGGGAAAATTTTTGCAAACCGCCACAAATTTTATAAAAGTTTCACAATGAAAAGACAAATTTTTAAATGGAGAAATTTTAAACCAATATGGTGGATATGACGTTACAAGCAGAGTCGGAATGAAGATATCATGTATATAAAGTTTTTATAATAGGAACAAAGAGGTTTTGCTACTTCGCTTTTACACAATTATGCAACCAAATTATATGTATATTATTTGCTATTTATATGCTAGTATGTCACGGGTTTTGTTGCGCTTTTTTTAAACAAAAAAAATGTTAAAAGTATTGAAATTTAAACTGTACACTTGGATAAATAATTAAACTAACATTATCAAAATACAAAAAAGTTATCATGGAATATCTTTTGAGGTTGATTATTGGTTGTTATTATCAAGATATTTTACAGAATAAATTATTAAATATTGTTTCGAAAAGATGAGGAGCCAGCCCCACCTCTTCACTTGGTCAGTGTTTCCTGGACACCACACTAGTTCACTAGTCATTCAGTCACTTCGTCAGTGTTTCCTGGACACCACACTAGTTCACCAGTCATTCAGTCACTTTGTCAGTGTTTCCTGGACACCACACTAGTTCACCAGTCATTCAGTCACTTCGTCAGTGTTTCCTGGACACCACACTAGTTCACCAGTCATTCAGTCNTCCTGGACACCACACTAGTTCACCAGTCATTCAGTCACTTCGTCAGTGTTTCCTGGACACCACACTAGTTCACCAGTCATTCAGTCACTTCGTCACATGTTTCCTGGACACTAGTTACAGGCTTTTTCGTTAACTTTGTCATGCTTTTACTGGTCTATATTACCTAATTTCTATATTCATTACCTGCCATGTTCTCTTCTAAAACATCTCAGTACGTATGAGCATTTTCCCAGGGTCTTCCAAAAAATCTCGTGCAAACTTGATAATCTGCTGTGAATCAATCGCTTCGAGTCGCTCCTGGACTCTAGTTCCCAGTCTTTCCATTTCACTTACAGGTGGATAAAATGCTGCATGTTGGTGGTCCTGCCAGCGGACTAGACAGAGACGAGGGTAGTGATAAAGTGAAGGAGCACTACCAGACAAATCTGTGGCAAACAAAAAACAAATAAGTGCATTAATCTTCTCTCACGAAAATCGTTGAAACTGACCCTTTCTTCGTGCAACTGTGACGGCACGGCAATCCGTAACGTGACCTTGCCGTGCCGTGCCGTTACGGAATTTGTGATATACGTTTAGCTAATCACAGCGCGCGAAATTACCGTGATCGTACTTCGTAAGGTTACCATTGGGGACAAAGTTACTAGCCCAGAATGAGAACTTGGATCTGAAGGACTCATGGACCCCAAGTACCTACCGTGAGCGTACTTCGTAAGGTAACCCTTGGGGACAAAGTTACTAGCCCAGAATGAGAACTCGTCAACGTTGAGGGTCGTAAAAACAATGTCTTGGTACAGAGAGTATGCAGCAACTGTTATCTCCTGAAAAAGATAATCCAGAAAACAAATGTCAAAAAAAAAAACATTGGAAGAAAATGATTGAATAAAGACCAGATAGCAGATTTCCGACTAACGAATATTGGGTATTTTTCAATCAGAAATTCATAGTAAGTAATAGGAAGGATGGGGTCGCACAAATCCAAAGGTGTAACAAACTGGTTCACAAGTGCTTGTCGACGTGATAGTTGAACCGAACAGAAGATTTTCCGTGGTTTCTTTTGTCCATCTCTTTGTTATTATTGATCATCCAAGTTTGCGAACCAGTGCAATGGCAGATTCAAAATGATTTCAAGGGGTGGCTGTTCGCTTAAAAGCCAGAATGTGGCTTCCTCTTTGGATTTTTCATTACTGTGCTTCATATTTTTAAACATTCGAAAAAGGGTGATTAGCCACCAAATTAATTACCCTATAACACTATGACGTCACATCAAAACAATCTATTGTTTTAACGCTAAGTATCATGGTCGCCAGAGGGGGCAAAATAGCAGCAAAACGAATTAAATCACAATAAAAAATGGTTAATTAGACGGGGAACGGTGATAACAGATAAATCCCGAACGAAAGAAAATTTCGCCTAAATTCCTATCATTCTTGCCCATGTAAACAAGCTGTGACGTCATAATGTTATAGGTCAATTGAAATATGCGGTCTTTGTAATAATGCGTTCATCCTGCTAAATCTACGATAAATAGTGTAGTATATTTATTTTTTCATGATCCAATCAATTTTGGTAATGATACGACATATTACGACACAGCGTGTTCAGCTATTATTGAAAGATACTCACCCTATAGAAGTGAGTGTCACGTGATATGTTCTGAGTACGTGCCAGGATAAGCATGACGGGAAGGTCTTGAGTAAACACTTCACGTGTTCTATCTTGAGACCTGATCGAGTATATATGGATGAAAGGTAAGGAATGAGAGAATGTGTCACGTGATATGTTCTGAGTACGTGCCAGGATAAGCATGACGGGAAGGTCTTGACTAAACACTTCACGTGTTCTATCTTGAGACCTGATCGAGTATATATAGATGAAAGGTAAGGAATGAGATATTGTGGGTGGTTTCTGCTATAGCTACAGTAAGAAATACATTTAGGTTCTCTCCCGGTAAGCAGACAGTGCACACCTTCCTCCCTATATCACCACTCCATTTTAAAAATATCTAAATCTATATATAAATCTACAAGTTGAAAGAGTAGTGCTTTTATGCTACCCGCATTCATATTATCCAGCGGAATTCTCAAAAAAAATAGCAATCACGCATGCGCAAATGGGCCTTTACCATGGTTAGCACTCGTTCACCAAAAACAAAAACAAAAAAACCTTTGAGTGTCAAACAATAGAACGAATCTATTGTGTTACCGCCTCGTTCTATTGTTTTATTATCCAATAGGACCTTTTGGTCCATGTGAACGAGTGCTAACCCTTTATCACACGGCGCCATGTTTATTCCCATGAGAATAAAAAGCTTTTAAATATGATATCAGGGTATGGTTTCTCATCTTTGATAAGCCATTCAGAGGATAAAGAAAAAAGTGGGTCGAGTTGACATCGCCGCCATCTTGGAAATATGTCCCTAAAACAGCCCCACAATGCACTGCAATACCCAGACTACCCAGTTTTTTCCTCAACCTCGGAATGGCTAATAGAAATAATGGTTTGCAAGAGAAACGTCACGAAACAAAAAATTAACATGGTACCCTGTTTTTGTGTGGAATATGGCTGTGGTGATCTGGGTAACAGGAAGTCGTCTGTGGTCGTGGACGAACTGTACGGCATACTCTGTACACATCCTGTGGTCATCCTCGCAATTGAAGTTGTCATCAACGTTGTATCTATTCACAATGAACACACCATTGTTATTATTTTTTGAATTTAGCCCGTTTTAAGATTTTTTTCCCCACCAGTAAGAAATATTATTTAATCTTAAAACGGGCTAAATTAAAAAAACCACGCAGTTCAAAGGAAGTGCTATTTCTCAATGATCATTTCACGTTTCAATGATTTTATTGAAATTTTTGATGAATCTCCATACATTTCCTTATAGCAGGACACCACAGAAACCAAGCTTGGGCTACCTGTGGTATAGCCAGATGAGGTAATTTGTACCGGCAGGAAATGCACATATTGTATTTCAAAAAACGTTGTTCGTCAGAGAACTGAAATCTGAAATCTAGTAGCTTGCTGCAAATTGTAATAAAATATGAGGCATGCCCGTTGAGTCTGAACTGTGATTTTTTCGTCTTTTAACCGAAAAATAAAAAAGACGAAAATCCCGTTTAGTCTCAGATCGCACATTTCAGAACTCGGACCGACAACATTTTTTGAAATAGGTGTATAACAAGAGAATATTAACCAAGACTGCATCTTACAAGCAAATAATTGTTGTTGTTTGAGCTAAAGTCGACACTAAAAGAGAGTTCCTTGGTACGTAATTTTAGGAACCACAATGTTAAGATGGTAGTTGATCGTAGTTGATAAGAAAGAGTGCTAAGGTGCTATTTAGATACCTGTGTGGTTTGTGAAACATGTGTAGCCTTGAGTCACTCTCCTGGCCGAGTGTGAAAGCCAAGTTGTAGCCGAGCTCAAAGATGGTAGCACGAACACCATCGTTACGATGCAAAACAAGCTGAAGAACGAAAAACAAGGATACTATTTCATTACTATAACTATTATTATAGTAATATATTATCCATCCATCCATCCATCCATCCATCCATCAAGCCATCCATCAAGCCATTTATCCATGCATCCATCCATGCATGCATCCCATCCATTCATCCATAAATCCATCCATCCCATGCATCCATAAATCCATCCATCCCATCCCATCCATCCATCAATCCATCCATTCGTCCATCCATCCATCCACCCATTCGTCCGTCCATCCATCCATCCCTCCCTCCCTCCCTCCCTCCCTCCATCCATCCATCCATCCATCCATCAATTCGTCCATCCATGACTAACATACCTTTGATACAACAAGATCCTTTTCATTTCTAGTTCCGGTCACGTGATCCGCCACGTCACGAGTGTAGAGGGCATAACACGGTACTAGTCCATACAGCAGTTCACATACTAGAGTATAACACTGACATGTATACCAGCGATCAATAAGTCTTGATGGCAGGTACTGACGGGCAAGGGATCGTGTGTATACAGTGGCAACCAAGTATACATCTTGACTCTACGGTTAGATACGAAATAACAGGGTTAATATAGCTTTATTATCACTGATGATTACTATGATGATAACTATGGTGGTGATGATGATAAGTGAATAAGAAAAAATTGATTTGCGTGTAAAAAAAACAATAACTGTACCAATGGTGATAATGATGATGGTGGTGATGATGAAGATTATGGTGATGGGGATGATAATGACGATGATGATGGAGATGATGATGATAATGGTGATGATATACCGGTGATGATGACGATGATTCTAATAGTGATGATGAGGACACGGAGATGGATAAGTAAGAGAGAAGAGAAGAGCCGTGGAGAGGAGAGGAGAGGAGATGGCATTGATATATATATTTACAATATTGACAATTAGTTACCAGGTCATCAGGAAGATGGTCATGCATATACTGATTATTAACAGCTGGTTGGTTGAGATTTGACAGCCAATCAAGAACAAGAGCAGGCTAGTAATCAACAAAACATACATCAGTAATCATAAAGCAAAAATAAACCAACTCGGAATGCAGCTCAATTTGGAGGACATAACAATAGGTTTCCAATTCTCATGAAATTGAAACTCTTTTGTTTTGTCCTCCAAATTGAGCTGCTTTGGCATCCCATGCTAGTGGTCTATAGGGTGAACCATACCACAATTGCAATATGATAATCGACTCTTATGTAGTGTGACTGCTTGCTAGAGGGGTAACAGTGTTATAGGATGAACCTTACCACAATTGCACCATGATAATCGACTCTTATGTAGTGTGACTGCTGACTAGAGGGGTAGCACTGTTCTACCACAGACCAACTGAGGCTACGGAATGCAGTAAGTGTTGGGTACCCTGTTATGCCAAATTGATCGCAATGGACTGGGTCTGTAGTACAATTCATTAGGTACATAGATGCACCTGAAGATGAATGAGAGATGAAGCATCACGTGACATAAAGGTGCTTTTCGATTGGATAACCATATTACAATACACCTTCTTAGGTTGGGCATAATGTTAAGGGACCCTCTGCTAAAGGCCTTTTTTGAGTTCAAAAACCAGGTGCATTGTGGTCTATCTTCATAACAAACAACACCATATTAAAGATGATGAGCAAAATATTCTTGTACCCAAGTTAGACCAAAATGCACCAAGTTTACTATCTCAGAAAAAGTCCTTTGTTGCTAAGTGATTTACTTACCAATCATTTTGACTGAGTTAGCAATGTCCTGTAAGACAGGCATTATTTTGGTGCAATATCCACATTGTCCTTTGATAAAAACAACCTGCCAAAAAATCAAGAAATATTAAATCCTCTTCAAAAACTGAAAGCTCCCCCAGTTAGGTAGTTAATTTTACTGCATAGTACCTAATAGTATTTATTCATTGAATTCTTTCATGTGCATGAGAGTGAAGGACAAAAGCACATGGCATGCTCATAGCAGCCATAGAAAATTGCTGCTCATCCAGCACAGCCTACACAGGGTTCGTGTCGAGGTAACCACTTAAAATTCAAGGACTATTCAAGGAGTATACAAAGACTCAAAAATGAATTTTCAAGGAGAATGTTCAGCTAACTATGCCAAGGTTTTACGTGGTGGTTGCACATGGACGCCTTTCAGATTTTCTGATCTTTCAAAGCAAAAATTCAAGGAGTTTTCAAGGAGTTTCGCTAAAATCTTAAAATTCAAGAGCTTTTCAAGTGCCCTTGAAAACATGAATTAAATTAAAGGAGTTTTCAAGGAGTTTTCAAGGAGTTTAAGGAGTAGCACAAATTCTGCCTAAAAATAGTACCCTCCCCCCCTTAATACAGCAGTGAAAGACAGCACATTAATAATGCACACTTGGTCAGTTAATTCACATACCAAAGAGACAAGGTATTTTCTTGAGCTGTCTTGATTGCCTTTAGGTCCATAGGCATTTGTTGGTCTGACTGACTGCTCTATCTTGGCTGCCCATGTTTGATCTGTTACCACAGGTATCTTGACATCTGTACTAACATTAGCTGAACCAACCATCTAAATGATGGGGCAAAAAAATTAGGATATAGGTTGTTATCACAGACATCATGACAAGTTTTCAATGTACACAAATGATAGGGTATGGAGGCGTTCACAATAGGCTGGTAACGAGATTCATTCAGCTGATTGCGGAGATGCGGAGATAGTCTTTTCCGATTTACCATACTAGTCTCTTATGTTTTCCAATCTTAGAAACCCAATTTTTTCCATACTACTCTCTTATATTAAAAAGCAATGATGAAACCATAAAAACCTCTGCCGTCCTAAATCCTAAATATTAAATATTGATTATTATTACTTACCTTGATTGCCTTCCATTCAGCAGGTGCTGGTTCAGGTCCATACACCCTTGTTGTATCCTCTAGTAACAGACTATCATATGATGACCTGACAACTGTCATGTTGTCACGTGGTACACATTCATTCTCTTGGTTTGCTGTCTTGTCACATACTTCCAACTGTCACAACAATACATTATTAATAATTTATTACTATTAATAATAATTAATACTACTGATACTATAAAGAATTAATATACACTACTAAAATGATTTTCTAAGATATTACTTTATGTGATTGCAATGCAATATGTACAGCAGGTGTATAATAACTGAATCTTTTACTTCTACGGCATGGTCAGATTATCCACTTGGGATGGCAGAACACATGCCGCAGGCCAAGTACAGTAGACATCCCTATCCTGAGTTTTTCACAGTCAAACAAAATGTATCCTATTCCCACATGGGGTAGACATGTTTGCACCACTCATGAGCACTGCATAAAATAACCAAAAATGAAATCGTTACCTTTACATCCAACCAGTCTGTATCCATATCAGTGTCCACCAGTAGAGGTATGTTGTTCGACTGCACAAAGGCATACAGGTTAAGTGATGTGGGGATTCCTTGGTTGAACAATGCCTGCTTGATTATGTATTCTGTCAAGCAAATATAAGAAGAATAAAAGCTCAGTTGTCTGGATGCAAGCACATTTCCCATGAATATTGATATCACAGAGGAAACACTAGTAAATCCATGCAAATGACACATTCAACGGTTAATTGGTTTTATTATCCCTGTCACTATCACTACATTTGTCATTGTTGCTATCATCGTCATTACATGCATTTGTTTATCATCACCATCACTCTCACACTCATTCTTAGTTAACGGGACCAAGTCGACTTAAAATAGATTGAAAAATGAAGTATGCTGGAACGACTCGAAAATAGCCTTATATTAATGTATACTATCTAAAAATGCATTTTTCAAAATTGTTCATCTATATCTACAAAAGAAAAAAAGTTGCATCKGTTTTCATACAACCTTCTTGTCTCTTAGGAGAAGGAAAGTTTTCTAACCCCTGGTTTTAAATATACAAGTCCAAGGTAGTGTTTTCGTTAATTTTGGTTTCATTTTATTGTTTTATTTGTAACTCTATGATGTCAGTAACAGAAAACAATATACAACAGCTTGAACTCCTCTTAAAAATGGAAAAAAATCACAAATGCTGTTGAAAATTTCTTGTACGATTTACAGATAATTGAATGTCCTTCCATATTTTTTCCCTAATCTCAACTTCCAGAGGAGTTAAGATTCAATCTCGATGCGTAATTTCGTCTAAAACGTCAATAATTCAAATAAAAGTAGGATGGTTTTGATCAGACGCTATAATAAAGTAGAGGCTTGAATTGTATCTTGGTAACGTAAATGACCCCTGACGTAACGTAAACGACATATGCTCGTATGCACACATATGGATTTCAAACTGCGTTCATTATGAAAAAACGCACGACTCTAGAAGATTATAAGATGTAATAAACAGCTGTTTGACTATTAAACTAACTTACATGTTTCCTATTTTAAGTAACGTAAATGACCATATGATCAATAGCAAAACGCAACAGGTTTACTTGAGAAGAACACTTGATTATGTTAACATGAATTACTTTTGTAATGACTTCTATGATTTATATTCCCCCTAAAAACGATATTTGTTATTAAATTGTAACAAACGACCTCATATAATATAAACGTTTTAAGGAAGACGGAAGCGTGTCTCGATGAGTTCAAGTGTTGCAGAGGACAGACGGTAGGACTTGCGAGTCTTGCCGATCTGTGTGGGTTGCTCTATAACACATATTATAGAAGCTCTTGRGACCCACAGTACATCTTCTCGGGTTGGCMATCGAAAACTTAATGCTTGGGGGTTCTTTCCACTCCTTGTCATGAAGGTTAACAACAGCTCGCCGTCATTTGCATCCACTTCCTGCACTTTGCCAATGTACCATTCTCCGTCATATGAGGCTGCAACAAAATCAT